GGGATCCTGCATCCTTAACCCTAGCGAATGTGAAGGGCTCATTGTATATCACCTTGCTGCAAAATTCAAATGGGTAGTCCTGGACATCTTGAATGGTTTTGCAGGGTGCGTTGGACAAATTCCTATAGTGAGACAGTGTGGTGTAGTGGTTTGAGTGTTGGAAACCAGAGTTTTAATTCTTGATTAAACTTATAAACTTCCAGGTGGCCTTTGGCAAGTCACACTCTCTCAGCTTCAGAGGAGAACAGTCTTCTGAACAAATCTTGCCAAGAAAACTCCATAATAGGATTGCTTTAGGACTGCCATAAATTGGCAAAGATTTGATGGCATGCAATAACAACAGACAAGTTACTGGACATTAAGGCTACCAGTGGCTACCAGAAAGAGATACTACTAATCATGATTGATGACTGTATATTACCTTTAGTGATCAGAGGCAGCATTTTTGGACGCAAGTCAAAGTGTGTGCTGTTTCTGCTGCATTTCTGTCCCGCTTGTGGGCTTCTCAGAGGCATTTGACTGGCTTCTGTGGGAAACAAGATGCTGGGTTATACAGTCCTTTGGCCTCATTTGGCTCACTTTGGCTTAGGTTCAATGGAGCAACTTTCAGAAACACATCTCTCAGGGTCTGAAGAAATGAGCTGCTCTTCAGGAAACTTATGGCAAATAAACCTTGTGAAGTCTTTAAGATGTTGCAAAATGATTTGTTTTGTTTGTAGCTGACTAATGTGTTTACCATCCCCAATCATGACATATATTTTATTATTATTAATTATATTATTTAACAGGGTTGGTAATTTAAAAAACAAACAAAAGCCATAGATATTTTTGGGTTTAAACTGTTTTGCTTGTTTGTTTTTAACTAGTTTTTTGCATAAATGTAAAGGAATATACCAATCTAGGACTAAATCAGAAAATTAAGCAGTAAAATGCAGTTCAGATGTTATGGCCACCAGCTTAAATAATAATTTACTTTAAAAAGTTATATTTTAAAATAAATTGTTTTGGTTAAGCTTATGTGAACTGGAGGATCTGTTTCTGAATGGCATTTCTTGCACTATAAAATAAAGTAATTAAAAAGAAACAAATGACACAAGATACTGACTGGTCTAATAACTGCCAATAAACTGTTAATGTTAAAAAATTTAAATTCAGTCATTGTTGTTCCAGTAAGGATGGAAAATAATAACAATAGCCAGAGTTATACATATATATATTAATAATCTATTTAGAAACCCAAGAGTATTTAAAACAAAAGTAATTTGGTTTAAACTAGCCAAACCTGTTA